GAGAATCACTTGGCCAACTTAAAAGCAGTTTTTGATATCCTTAGAACATATCGGCTCCGACTCAATGCTTTGAAATGCGCATTTGGAGTTGGGTCTGGTAAGTTCCTGGGATACTTGGTTACCCGAAGGGGTATTGAGGCAAACCCAAATCAAATCAAGGCTATCCTGGACTTGAAAAGCCCGACATTGGCAAAACAGGTGCAAATGTTGACTGGAAGGGCCGCAGCCTTGAACAAATTTTTAAGTAGAAGTTTAGATAAGTGTAAACCATTTTTCAGTTTGTTGAAAAAGGCCACAGATTTCTTGTGGATAGAGGAATGCGAAGTCACCTTGGCCGACTTAAAAGAGTACCTGACAACAGCTCCAATTCTGTCAAATCCAGTACCTGAAAAGGAGCTATTCTTATACTTGGCCATTTTAGAGCACGCAGTGAGTGCAGTGATAATCAGAGAAGAGAAAAGGGAACAAAGGGTAGTGTACTATGGGAGTAAAACCTTAGCAAGTGTAGAAACTAGGTATTTACCCCTGGAAAAGTTAACATTAGCCCTGGTGATGGCTTCAAAAAAATTGAATCATTACTTCCAAGCCCATATGATTGTGGTGTTGACTGAGCATCCATTGAAATCCATGTTGCAGTAGGGAGATCTGACATACAGGGTAGCCAGATGAGCAGTGGGGTTTGGGCTAGTATGACTTACAGTTTAGACCCAAAACGGCAATCAAAGGCCAGGTTTTGGCCGACTTTGTAGTCGAGTTCACACCTAGTGCCATCCCACGCCGGGCTCCAGTGAGTCGCGAATTAGGGTGTCTAGGGGGACAAGAGGAGACCCAGCTGGGAATGAAAAGCCCCACAGCAGAGCAGAAGAAAGAAGAAAAACCCAAGCCCTGTGATATCTACATCGGTGACTCCTTCTGTCTGTTTGTTGATTGGAGTTCAAATCGTCAAGGAGCGGGGGCAGGAATAGTGTTGGTATCACCAGATGAGCGAATGCTGGAAAAGTCTGTCCGTTTGGGGTTCAAAGCCTCAAATAATGAAGTAGAACATAAGTCACTAATCACAGGGTTGAAGTTAGTAGCAACAATGGAAGCCGATGATGTGGTAGTCTTCTATGACTCCCAACTTATTGTGAACCAGGCAACAGGCGAGTATGCAGCCCGAGATGAAAGAATGATAGCCTATGTCAAGGAAGTTGTTGGACTGCTAGCCTTGTTTCAGGATTGCCGACTACAACATGTTAGCCGAGATGATAACAACCATGCCGATGCGTTGGTTAACCTGGCTAGTGCAATGAAGTCAAGGGAGGCAAGGACAATAATGGTTGATTATTTGTCTGGCCCAAGTGTGGAACCACTAAGCACAGAGTATGAAGCAATGTGTGTGGAAATAGGTCCAAGTTGGATGGAAGCAATAGTGATGTTTCTTAGGGACGACAAGCTACCAGATGATCACAAAGAGGCGTATAAAACCAGACTGAAGTCGGCAAGGTTTTATCCTAACAACAGAAGGACATCTCTACAGAAGGTCTTTTACTGGTCCCCTTTTGAGGTGTGTGCATCGCTCCCAAGTTGAAGATTTGTTGTACTCCCTCCGTCCCAAAATAATGGTCCCTTTTGGGGAATCCAACTTTTTTTGGTAGTACAATTATTGCATTTGAAAAAAGTTGATTTTCCAAAATTATCCTTTTGATAGTACATTTTTTGAGAATATCAATGCATAATTGTACTTTTTATGTTGTTTATTAATTTAAAAGAAGGGTAAAATAGGAAATTTATATTATTTTTGTACTTGATTTTTGAAGAGGGACTAATATTTTGGGTCAATGAAAAATAGAATAAGGGACTAATATTTTGGGACGGAGGGAGTATAAAATATATGAAAGGGTATGTGGCAGCCATACTCGGGGCAGATCACTTCCTCATAGGGCCATTACTCAGGCGTACTGGTGGCCCTACATGCAGAAGGATGCTGAAGCCTATGTCAGAAAGTGCGAAAAGTGTCAAAGGTTTGCACCTTTAATACATCAACTAGCAGCAGACTTGAACCCAGTGTCCAGCCCTTGGTTATTTGCCTAGTGGGGCATGGATCTTGTTGGACAACTACCCCAAGCAACTGGGCAAAGGTAGTTTATGCTAGTAGCAACTGATTACTTCACAAAGTGGGTAGAAGTTGAACCCCTTGCGAAGATTTGAGATATTGATATGAAGAACTTCATATGGAAGAATATCATCACCAGGTTTGGGATTCCATGGGCAATAATAGTAGACAATGGCACATAGTTTGACTGTAAGTTAATAAAAAGCTTTTGTACAAAGTACAAAATCAAGAGCTACTACTCTACTCCAAGTTTCCCTCAGAGTAATGGTCAAGCAGAAGCATCCAATAAGGCTATCTTGGATGTAATCAAAAAGAGGCTAGAAGCATCAAAGGGAAAATGGGTGGAAGAGTTGCCCAATGTACTCTGGGCATATCGGACTATGCCGAGAAGATCAACTAGGGGGTCTCTATTTGCCATGGCTTATGGCACTGAAGCAATTATCTCACTAGAAGTCGGCATTCTAGGGATCAGAATGCAGGGAGTGGAAAATGGTACTAATGATGCATTTTTAGCCCGAGATCTAGACCTACTGGAGGAGAAAAGAGAGAGAGAGCAACAATTCAGCTGGGGGCATACCAGCAACAACTTGTTAGGGCTTACAACAAGAAGGTCAACCCAAGAGAGTTCAAAGTTGGGGACCTTGTGCTGAGAAAAATAGTCGACAACAAGAAGCATCTTAGGGAGGGCAAGCTAGGCCTAAATTGGGAGGCGCCTTATAGAATCATCTCGGTCACCAGCAATGGAGTATATCGGTTTGAGAACAGTGATGGATTCTGACTGAACGTCTTTAAGTTAGAATTCGGGCTAAAAGCGACGCTTGTGCCTACCGCCCTCTTGCCGACCCGCAATAGGGGTCGTCCGTCCCCTAAAGGCACGTGTTGTTGGTAAAGCTCGTGGAGCAGATGAGTTATGCAGGCCCCCTTAAAGTACAATTCCTATCTCGAGCAGCGGGTAAAATCCTTTACAGATAACTTTAATACACGACGGGGTATTGTAAGTGGTAGAGTGGCCTTGCCGACACGATCCACTGAGATTCAATCCTGTGTCGCTTTGATTCAATCCTGTGTCGCTTTGATTCATCCCTCCCCCCTTCCTGTCCCTTCTTTGACCAATTGCCCGTGAGGTTTAGAACATATAATATAGCCTAAGTGTGTGCCTCGACACACAAAAACGATTTACTTGCATGCCGAAAAGAAATTCCTAAGGCCTACGGGGATAAAAGAATTTTAGTTACACAAAAATTTTCAGTAAAGCTACTATTTAAGGATTTCAATAATACTCCATATAGAAAAGTATATCAATCGATATTCTAGAATTTTTTTTTTTTTGAAACAGCCAAAAGGAAAATTTATTGATAATGATCAAGCAAATACATAGACAATTATCAATAAAACGAAAGCCCGAGCCCAACTAAGTTGGCACCGAGAAACAAACAAAGAAATAAAAATCACCACCCACCCAAAGTTGGTAAGACACTAACTCAAAGCACAAGGGAGAACTATATCAGCAGCCCAAAACAATTTTACTCCCCATGCTGCATCTGATTTGGCTCAGATTGGTCAAGAAGTCCAGAATAGTGAAGTGATAATCCTTAAATCTTTGATTAAGACACATTGGAACTCTAATCTTAATCAAATCACAAACTTCCACCAACTAAGGTGTAGCAGACTCAAAAATGCACTTATTTCTAAGTTTCTACAATGACCACAAGACTGCCAAGTGGATGACCTTCCAAATTAATTTTTCTTTTCTGTTCAATTGATCACAGTCCCACCACTGAAGTACAGCTTCTATAGAATCTAGAAGAGCTCCTTGCATTTCCCACCAATTCAACATTGCAGCCCATTCCTTCCATGAAAAATGGCAATGCAGCAGCACATGACAGATCGATTCAATCTCTATTTTACAGAAAACACAGAGTGCTGGAGCATTAGCTTGAATCACTCCAATTTTCTAAAGAAATTTTGCTAACTTGACTCTGTTTTTCCAGGCTAACCAACATAAAAATTGAACTTTTAGAGGTGCAAATCTATTCCAGATTAACTTACAAGTATTAAGGGGCATAGATAATTGTTATTTTTTTATACAGATACATACCCTATACAACCTGGATAGATCTCCAACAAATTCAGCTTGTGGGTTTGAGCTACAAATAATTATTTTTCTATGTTACGTGCAAAAATATTAAAGACTATGATTTCTTGTGCTAAAAGCAGCACGTTGTCCTTATTATTCCTAATAATTTCTCAAATGCAGTATTCTGGTATCTTATTCTTTAGGTAGGCTTGAATTTGGTTATTGAATGGTTGAGAATTGAATGGATGAATGGATGGATGAATAATTTTGTATATGCACAGGTTACAGGTGGCGTAAAAAATATTACAGAACAAATTATAAAAACTAAATGAGACCTATTGGCGACTAAACAAATATCACAGGTTGGCTTTTGGCTACTAAAATTTTAGTCACCAATTGTCAAAAAGTGAACCTTTTGGCTACTAAAATTTTAGTCGCCAATTGTAAAAAAGACACTTTTGGGTACTAAATTTTTAGTTGCCAATTCTAAAAAAGTGAAACTTTTGGCTACCAAATAGTTAGTCGCCAAACATACATGCTCAATTGGCTACTAATTAATTTGGTCGCTATAAGCAAAAAATATATATATTTAATTATATTTAAAAATATATGGCGACTAAAATTTTAGTCGCCGATAGGTCACTTTTGGCTACGAAAAAAATTTTAGTCACCGATTATCTTCCCCGACGAACTATTGGCAACCAAACTAGCGACCAAATATATTAGTCGCCGAAAGTAGTTGGCGACTAAAATTTTAATCGCCAAAAGTGAAATTTCTTATAGTGATATAAAAAACTAGACATATAATTCAAATAGTTGAACAAAACTTTACATGGTTTTGTTAGTGGAACCTGCATTTAGAGAAATTAATTGTCCATGTAAATTCTATATACATTTATGTGTTTGATTTCTATGTGCGGGTTGTGGCATTCATGTATTCAAAGGTTTAAAAGAATGTTAGTTACACTAAAATTTTCAGTAAAGCTACTATTTAAGGATTTCAATAATACTCCATATAGAAAAGTATATCAATCGATATTCTAGATTTTTTTTTTTTGAAACAGCCAAAAGGAAAATTTATTGATAATGATCAAGCAAATACATAGACAATTATCAATAAAAAGAAAGTCCGAGCCCAACTAAGTTGGCACCGAGAAACAAACAAAGAAATAAAAATCACCACCCACCCAAAGTTGGTAAGACACTAACTCAAAGCACAATGGAGAACTATATCAGCAGCCCCAAACAATTTTACTCCCCAAGCTACATCTGATTTGGCTCAGATTGGTCAAGAAGTCCAGAATAGTGAAGTGATAATCCTTAAATCTTTGATTAAGCCACATTGGAACTCTAATCTTAATCAAATCACAAACTTCCACCAACTTAGGTGTAGCAGACTCAAAAATGCACTTATTTCTAAGTTTCCACAATGACCACAAGACTGCCAAGTGGATGACCTTCCAAATTAATTTTTCTTTTCTGTTCAATTGATCACAATCCCACCACTGAAGTACAGCTTCTATAGAATCTGGAAGAGCTCCTTGCATCTCCCACCAATTCAACATTGCAGCCCATTCCTTCCATGAAAAATGGCAATGCAGCAGCACATGACAGATCGATTCAATCTCTATTTTACAGAAAACACAGAGTGCTGGAGCATTAGCTTGAATCACTCCAATTTTCTAAAGAAATTTTGCTAACTTGACTCTGTTTTTCCAGGCTAACCAACATAAAAATTGAACTTTTAGAGGTGCAAATCTATTCCAGATTAACTTACAAGTATTAAGGGGCAGACCAAGGGAGACAACTTCACTTCTATAGGCAGAGGAGACAGAAAACAGACCAGAATCTGCTGCCAACCAGACTAGTTTGTCTTCCAGATCATCACATAAACCAGAAACAAATGGCAGAAGCACTTTGAGTCTGCTAACTTCCCTCTCTTCCCACTCATACAGCCTTCTTCTAAATTGAAAGTTCCAATTCCCTGAAGCAACACTTCTGTCATACAATGATCTCAGGGATTTCTCCTTATCTAGCACCAATCTATAAAGAATAGGAAATTCAACTTTGAAGTAGTGATTGCTGCACCAATAGTCTTCCAGAAGTTGGTTCTTATACCATCCCCTAGCTTGATATGAACATTGTTATAATAGAACATCGACAGATTGCTATTTCTTTCTAGTATGGAGATTATGCCTTTCCACACACAAGACTGTCTACTGCTTGAAGTAGAAGAGGGACACAATCTTTTGACATCCAGATTGTACTTGCTGCATATGATCTTTCTCTACAAAGCATCTTTCTCTTTGCCAAACCTCCACCACCATTTTAATAACATACAATCATTGACCAACCTGATTCTCCTAATGCCTAGGCCTCCCTGCTTCACACTCTTTGCTAAGTCATCCCATTTAACCAAGTGAATTGGTTTTCTTGATTGTGACCCACCCCAAAGAAAAGCAGCCTACAGCTTCTCATATTCCTTTGATACCCCTGCAGGCATTTTGAATAGAGATAAATAGAACAACGGTAAGGCAGAGGTTACATACAGACTTTAGTAGAGTGAGTCTCCCTTAGAATGAAAGCAACTTCCTTTTCCATCATGCTAGTCTGTTTATGACTTTATGAAGAACTGGTTTCCAAGTTGACTTGTTATTTGGATTAGCCACCAAAGGCATACCCATGTACTTTAGAGGAAATGCCTTGAAATTGCAGTGTAGTTTTGATGCAAAACTAGATAAAGACTCCTCTAGAACATTAATTCCATACACCTGACTCTTATGATAGTTTGGTCTACATCATACAAATTTCAAATGTATACTTTACTTTCGGAATAATTTTTCAAATAAATATTCCATGTAAATAGCATTTTTCATTTTATTTTTGATCAGCAATAATATTACTGAAGTTATTCAGACAACCATGAGAATTTGAGGGGATCATGGGGCTCACCATGAGTTGCGTTTCGATAATTCAAATCTTTTCTTTTGTAAAGTTCTTGGAAAAAAATAGATCGTTTCGATAATCGTAACCATTTTATTTTATTGTGTTTGTCTCCCAAAACATAGATATAATAAAATAAAATTGTTATGATTATCAAATCAATCTATTTTTTTAGATTAAAATGAGATACGTTGTAACCTCCACAGACCACTCAAGTTCTCTCAATATATTTATTTTTTTTGTTTAATTTCTATGTGCTTATCCATTTTGGCTTGTGGTACGCATGTAGTCAAATATATATATATATATATATAATGATAAGGCAACAATAAAAAATTCGGTAGAATTGTTATCGAAGGATTTCAATAATACTACTCTCTCGTCCCAATATATTAGTCTCTTATTTCATTTTTCATTATCCCAAAATATTAGTCCATTTTCAAAATTAAGTACAAAAATAATATAAATTTCCTATTATGCCATTCTTCTAAATTCATTAACAACATAAAAAGTACAATTATGACATTGATATTCTCCCAAAAAAATGTATTATCAAAGGAAAATTTTAAAAAATCAATCTTTTTTTTTAAAGTGCAATAATTGTACTTCCAAAAAAAAATTGAATTCTCCAAAAATAACCATTATTTTGAGACAAATGGATTACACAAAACAATACATCTACCAATATGGTGGATTTGACTCACATTATAAAAATTTTGAAACTACACATTTCGTCTCAATTTCGAGCTAAATATTTCAAGTAAATACCATTTTATTTTCTATTTTTTTTTATCAATAATATTACTAAGGTTAGTCAGGCAAATCCAAGTAGATTACTAGGGAAAAATAAAAAATAAAAAAATAGCAAACACTTAGCATTAGGGCTGCAAACGAACCGAGCCGAGCTCGAGCTGAGCTTAGCTCGTTTACTTATTGAGCTCGAGCTCGGTTTGTTAATTTTTTTAATATTATTTATATATCAAACTCTACAGACTTGTTAACATGCATAACTCGTTCTTGTAGAGAGAGAGAGAGAGCTAAGCATAACATTGAAAGCTCAACAGTTGGAATCCCGACAGCTACAACACCTCCTGGTCAGCAGCAGGCTCCCAATGCAAGCGAAGATTAGTCAAGGTGTGCGTTAAGCTGACCCGGACATCCTGTGAGAAACCAAAAAAATAGAAAACAGAAAGCTCACGACTTCAGTATGAAGCAGTAATCATTATAAATCAACGAGCAAAATTTCAACACATTTTTAAACTGACGTCAAATTTGAACAATTTATACTCATTCAACATAATCATATGCATTATATTTAAAAAAATAATAAAAAAAAAAAAAGCCAAAAGGTAAATAAGCTAAACTTGATCAACTCAATTAAAATTCATTTAAGATCAGCTCAAAAGGTAAATAAGCTAAACTTGAACACATTTTAAAACTTTCAACCAATATTTTAAAAGAGATTAAGCAAAAAACATTGCCATTGCACTTTTGTAACTTCACTCGAATCCCAGTTTTCAACACATCTGTGACAAGGCTTTCAATGAAGAAATGCTCTGCTGTGATTGGCCATGTGATCATTGGAACACCTGCTCCTATCCCCTCGATGGCCGAGTTCCATCCACAATGAGTCAAAAACCCTCCAATGGCTTGATGTTCTAAGATTAGCAATTGTGGAGCCCAACTCCTTACAATCAAACCTTTCCCGGACTTCATCATCCTCTCCTCAAATCCATCCGGAAGCTTCTTAACTCCGCGACCCTCTCTCCCTTCGTTATTTTTTTCATCATCCCCATATTCTAACATATCTCTGCCCACCCAAATGAACGGGCAGCCAGAAATCTCGAGACCGTGAGCAATCTCGAGGAATTGTTCGGGAGCCATACGAACTTGGCTCCCGAAACTAACATAAAGTACTGACTTGGGTTCTTTAGAGTTGAGCCAGTTCAAAACTGTACCTCCATCAATGGAATTCTTTTCGCCCCTCTCGGTCTTTTGTTCATTTCCTTTGTTAAAGAGACACACAGGTCCTGCGAGCCATAGCTTTTTGCCCACTTCATTCTTGAAATACTTGGCATAAGCTGGCTCCAAGTCGTAAAAGCTGTTGACTAAAACCCCATAGGTCTTTGACTCGGCCTCTTGCATGTTGTCCTGAAGATGTTCCAAATCAGCTTTGGCTGAATACCAGAATGGGAGCTGACGCTTCGAAAATTTGATGTTGTCGTCGGGGAGACCCGGCAAAACAAAGGTCTCTGTATCAGAATTTACCTTCTCATGCGGTGCATGGCGTTTAAGGCTATCGTCACAACAAAGTGGAAACAAACCTATAACATGGAGCCATGGTTTGAAAAAAAACCTGTATCAGACTTTACTCTTATTTGATTTGTTTTTTTAATTGTTAAGTTTCGAAAAATTATAGACTATTTTTGCAACTTTTAATCTATAGTAAACTCTTCTCATTTTCCTTTGTCTTTGTTAAAAAAATAATGAAAAAAAAATCACTTTATTGCTCCATAGTAGTAATGAAATTTACCCGCAATGTGTTAAAAAAAGAAACAGTAGAGATTGAGGACGATGATATGGAGGTCCTGGATGACGTCGGCAAAGAGTCAGCCGACAAAAGCGAGAAAGCCTTAAAGAAGATCCTGGTCCAATAAGGGGATGAAGAGCGCTTCTTCCTTCTTGGCGCAGGATTGGCTGAGGAGGAGGAGAAGGAGTTAGAGTCATTCGTGCAAGCAAACATAGAGGTGTTTGCCTAGACGCCATACGATATGCTTGGCATTGATCCCGAGGGCACTTGCCATAGACTAAATGTAGACAGGTCGGCTAAACTTGTCATTCAGCGAGCAAGGAGGCTGTAGACACCCTATTTTGACCAGCCTTAAAACTTAGGCGCTTTCTATTGATTACCCCATGATGACAATTAGAATGTGTTCCCAGTAGTCCTCAACAAGAAAAATGGAATTTGAGCTTTAATCCCAACCTTCACACATTTTTGGCCAAACTATTTTAAATCTTAAAACCCTCTTTTCAAAATATTTTTTCAAATATTTCTACGATGTTCCGAGGCTCCCATTTTAATTAAAATATTGCACTTTTTAGTAAATCGAGTAAGGACAAAATAGAGATAAATCGAAGGAATGTGAACTCTTTAAAAAAAATCTTCTTTATAGGTTTGGATAGGTTTGGATTTGAAAGAAACAGAAAGGGATGGAAGAAAACTGGTTTAGAGAAAAGATGAGCATCAAATTGTTAAGAAGGAAATAAGAAGGGGTACCATCAGATAGGTTTGGATAGGTTTGGATTTGAAAGAAAAAGAAGAATGGGAAGTGGAGGGTCTGCGTGGACTCTACCAGCCTGAATAAGGTTTGTCCCAAAGACAGTTTCCCACTCCCCAAGATCGATCAATTAGTGGATACCACTTCAGGGCATGGAAGGATGAGCTTCCTTGATGCTTACAAGGGGTACGATCAGATAGCAATGTATCTCCCCGACGAGAAGAAGACTGCATTTATCACCCCAAAAGGGCTGCATTGCTACAGAGTGATGCCTTTCGGGTTGAGAAATGCAGGAGCAACCTACCAGAGATTAGTAACCAAGATGTTCAGAAATCTGATTGGCAAAATAGTGGAAGTGTACATTGATGACATGGTCGTGAAGACAAAAGAACCTGAGAATCACTTGGCAACTTAAAAGTAGTTTTTGATATCCTTAGAACATATCGGCTCCGACTCAATGCTTTGAAATGCGCATTTGGAGTTGGGTCTGGTAAGTTCTTGGGATACTTGGTTACCAAAAGGGGTATTGAGGCAAACCCAAATCAAATCAAGGCTATCCTGGACTTGAAAAGCCCGACATTGGCAAAACATGTGCAAATGTTGACTGGAAGGGCCGCAGCCTTGAACAAATTTTTAAGCAGAAGTTTAGATAAGTATAAACCATTTTTCAGTTTGTTAAAAAAGGCCATAGATTTCTTGTGGATAGAGGAATGCGAAGTCACCTTGGCCGACTTAAAAGAGTACCTGACAATAGCTCTAATTCTGTCAAATCCAGTACCTGAAAAGGAGCTATTCTTATACTTGGCCATTTTAGAGCACGCAGTGAGTGCAGTGATAATCAGAGAAGAGAAAAGGGAACAAAGGGCAGTGTACTATGGGAGTAAAACCTTAGCAAGTGTAGAAACCAGGTATTTACCCCTGGAAAAGTTAACATTAGCCTTGGTGATGGCTTCAAAAAAATTGAATCATTACTTCCAAGCCCACATGATTGTGGTGTTGACTGATCATCCATTGAAATCCTTGTTGCAGTAGGGAGATCTGACATACAGGGTAGCCAGATGAGCAGTGGGGTTTGGGCCAGTATGACTTACAGTTTAGACCTAAAACGGCAATCAAAGGCCAGGTTTTGGCCGACTTTGTAGTCGAGTTCACACCTAGTGCCATCCCACGCCGGGCTCCAGTGAGCCGCGAATTAGGGTGTCTAGGGGGACAAGAGGAGACCCAGCTGGGAATGAAAAGCCCCACAGCAGAGTAGAAGAAAGAAGAAAAACCCAAGCCCTGCGATATCTACATCGGTGACTCCTTCCGTCTGTTTGTTGATTGGAGTTCAAATCGTCAAGGAGCGGGGGTAGGAATAGTGTTGGTATTACCAGATGGGCGAATGCTGGAAAAGTCTATCCGTTTGGGGTTCAAAGCCTCAAATAATGAAGTAGAACATAAGGCACTAATCGCAGGGTTAAAGTTAGTAGCAGCAATGGAAGCCGATGAGGTGGTAGTCTTCTATGACTCCCAACTTATTGTGAACCAAGCAACAAGCGAGTATGCAGCCCGAGATGAAAGAATGATAGCCTATGTCAAGGAAGTTGTTGGACTGCTAGCCTTGTTTCAGGATTGCCGACTACAACATGTTAGCCGAGATGACAACAACCATGCCGATGCGTTGGTAAACCTGGCTAGTGCAATGAAGTCAAGGGAGGCAAGGACAATAATGGTTGGTTATTTGTCTGGCCCAAGTGTGGAACCACTAAGCACAGAGTATGAAGCAATGTGTGTGGAAATAGGTCCAAGTTGGATGGAAGCAATAGTGATGTTTCTTAGGGACGACAAGCTACCAGATGATCACAAGAGGCGCATAAAACCAGACTGAAGTCGGCAAGGTTTAGCCTAACAACAGAAGGACATCTCTACAGAAGGTCTTTTACTGGTCCCCTTTTGAGGTGTGTGCATCGCTCCCAAGTTGAAGATTTCTTGTATAAAATATATGAAAGGGTATGTGGCTGCCATGCTCGGGGCAGATCACTTCCTCATAGGGCCATTACTCAGGCGTACTGGTGGCCCTACATGCAGAAGGATGCTGAAGCCTATGTCAGAAAGTGCGAAAAGTGTCAGAGGTTTGCACCTTTAATACATCAACTAGCAGCAGACTTGAACCCAGTGTCCAGCCCTTGGTCATTTGCCTAGTGGGGCATGGATCTTGTTGGACAACTGCCCCAAGCAACTGGGCAAAGGTAGTTTATGCTAGTAGCAACTGATTACTTCACAAAGTGGGTAGAAGTTGAACCCCTTGCGAAGATTTGAGATATTGATATGAAGAACTTCATATGGAAGAATATCATCACCAGGTTTGGGATTCCAAGGGCAATAATAGTGGACAATGGCACATAGTTTGACTGTAAGTTAATAAAAAGCTTTTGTACAAAGTACAAAATCAAGAGCTACTACTCTACTCCAAGTTTCCCTCAGAGTAATGGTCAGGCAGAAGCATCCAATAAGGCTATCTTGGATGTGATCAAAAAGAGGCTAGAAGCATCAAAGTGAAAATGGGTGAAATAGTTGCCCAATGTACTCTGGGCATATCGGACTATGCCGAGAAGATCAACTGGGGAGTCTCTATTTGCCATGGCTTGTGGCACTGAAGCAGTTACCCCACTAGAAGTCGGCATTCTAGGGATCAGAATGCAGGGAGTGGAAAATGGTACTAATGAGGCATTTTTAGCCCGAGATCTAGACCTACTGGAGGAGAAAAGAGAGAGAGAGCAACAATTCAGCTGGGGGCATACCAGCAACAACTTGTTAGGGCTTACAACAAGAAGGTCAACTCAAGAGAGTTCAAAGTTGGGGACCTTGTGCTGAGAAAAGTAGTCGACAACAAGAAGGATCTTAGGGAGGGCAAGCTAGGCCTAAATTGAGAGGGGCCTTATAGAATCATCTCGGTCACCAGCAATGGAGCATGTCGGTTTGAGAACAGTGATGGCAAAGAGTTGCCAAGACCCTAGAACACTTGCAACTTGAAGTTTTTCTATCATTAAATTTTTTGTTTTTCGAAGTTTATGTCATTAGCCGAAGTAATAATAAAATTTTAGTTTGATTTTTATGAATTTGAAATTTGTGTGATAGGACTAACCAGTCTTACAGCGATGTTTTTGAATGAAGCAAGACAAATAACTTAGACTTATTATATGGAAGAGTTGAATTATACTTGCATATAATAGAGTTGAACTAAGTTGGCAATGCTTTCGAATGAAACATGACGAATAACTTAGACTTATCATATGGCTGAGTTGAATTATACTTGCATATAATAGAGTTGAACTAACTTGGCGATGTTTCCGAATGAACCATGACGAATAACTTAGACTCATTATATGGTAGATTTGAATTATACTTGCATATAATGGAGTTGAACTAATTGAACTAAGTTGATTAACGGAGAAACTAAGGTTGAAACACCTGGGGGAGCCTTTGTTTGAATCTAGTCCGACTTTGTGAAATGACTTGCGAGGTGTAGTATAAGTGGGAGCCAGAAATGGAAAAAGTGAAATACCACTACTTTTAACATTATTTTACTTATTCCAAGAATCGGAGGGAGGGCACTGCCCCTCTTTTTGGACCCAAGTCCCGCCATGGGCGGAAGACATTGTCAGGTGGAGAGTTTGGCTGGGCGCGATGCATCTATTAAAAGATAACGCAGGTGTCCTGAGATAAGCTCAACGAGAATAGAAATCTCGTGTGGAACAGAAGGGTAAAAGCTCGTTTGATTTTGATTTCCAGTACGAATATGAAACCCTGAAAGTGTGGCCTAACGATCCTTTAGACCTTCAGAATTTGAAGTTAGATAACTGGCTTGTGGTAACCAAGCGTTTATAGCGATGTTGTTTTTGATACTTCGATGTCGGCTCTTCCTATCATTGTTAAGCAGAATTCACCAAGTGTTGGATTGTTCGCCCACTAATAGGAAATGTGAGCTGGGTTTAGACCATCGTGAGACAGGTTTGTTTTACCCAACTAATGGCAGCGTCGTAATAGTAATTCAACCTAGTACGAGGGGAACCGTTGATTCACATAATTAGTCATCGCGATTGGTTGAAAAGCCAGTGGCGTGAAGCTACCGTGCGATGGATTATGACTGAACGTCTTTAAGTTAGAATTCGGGCTAAAAGCGACGCTTGTGCCCGCCGCCCACTTGCCGACCCGCAATAGGGGTCGTCCGTCCCCTAAAGGCACGTGTTGTTGGTAAAGCTCGCGGAGCAGATGAGTTATGTGGGCCCCCTTAAAGTACAATTCTTATCTCGAGCAACGGGTAGAATCCTTTACAGATAACTTTAATACACGACAGGGTATTGTAAGTGGTAGAGTGGCCTTGCCGACACAATCCACTGAGATTCAATCCTGTGTCGCTTTGATTCATCCCTCCCCCCTCCCTGTCCCTCCTTTGACCAATTGCCCGTGAGGTTTAGAACATATAATATAGCCTAAGTGTGTGCCTCGACACACAAAAACGATTTACTTGCATGCCGAAAAGAAATTCCTAAGGCCTACGGGGATAAAAGAATTTTAGTTACACAAAAATTTTCAATAAAGCTACTATTTAAGGATTTCAATAATACTCCATATAGAAAAGTATATCAATCGATATTCTAGAATTTTTTTTTTTTTTGAAACAGCCAAAAGGAAAATTTATGGATAATGATCAAGCAAATACATAGACAATTATCAATAAAAAGAAAGCTCGAGCCCAACTAAGTTGGCACCGAGAAACAAACAAAGAAATAAAAATCACCACCCACCCAAAGTTGGTAAGACACTAACTCAAAGCACAAGGGAGAACTATATCAGCAGCCCCAAACAATTTTACTCCCCAAGCTACATTTGATTTGGCTCAGATTGGTCAAGAAGTCCAGAATAGTGAAGTGATAATCCTTAAATCTTTGATTAAGCCACATTGGAACTCTAATCTTAATCAAATCACAAACTTCCACCAACTTAGGTGTAGCAGACTCAAAAATGCACTTATTTCTAAGTTTCCACAATGACCACAAGACTGCCAAGTGGATGACCTTCCAAATTAATTTTTCTTTTCTGTTCAATTGATCACAATCCCACCACTGAAGTACAGCTTCTATAGAATCTAGAAGAGCTCCTTGCATCTCCCACCAATTCAACATTGCAGCCCATTCCTTCCATGAAAAATGGCAATGTAGCAGCACATGACAGATCGATTCAATCTTTATTTTACAGAAAACACAGAGTGCTGGAGCATTAGCTTGAATCACTCTAATTTTCTAAAGAAATTTTGCTAACTTGACTCTGTTTTTCCAGGCTAACCAACATAAAAATTGAACTTTTAGAGGTGCAAAATTTTTAAGATTTATTAAATAATCGAAATATGAACATATAAAATAATAAAATTCATATCATGGTTTAGTAAAGGCCGATCTTTTGATCGGATGAGTGGGAGTGCTCAATTGATGACCTTCTCCTATCATACCTAAGGTTCCGAACTGAGAGACCTTTGGTTACGGCGAACAATGGCCTTGGCACGAGTCATGGGTTTCCTAATTTTCCAAAAATATTAGGTGGCGACTCTGAGATCTGATGACGCAGTCCATTTCTGGCAAAAAGTTTTGCAATAAAATGGATTTTCTAAAAGTTGTCAAATCTGGATTCTCATCTATGTTTCACATTGCACTAATGAGAGTAAATCAAAGAGACTGAGGGTCCGAATTGTTTAACGCGCACGGGTATCTCCCAGGCATGTTATAGAGGCCGACATTGGTTCATGTGGAGGTAGTAGAAGAGGAAGTGGACA